CACCACTCACCACTCACCCTCACCCTCACCACTCTCACTACTCACCCTCACCACCACCACTCACTCTCACCACTCACCCTCACCACTCACACTCACCACTCACCCTCCCCAATCACCCTCACCACTCTTCCTCAACACTCTTCCTCACCACTCTTCCTCACCACTACTCACCACTCACCCTCACCACTCACCCTCAACACTCACCTTCAACACTCACCCCTCACTACTCACCACTTACCCTCGCCACTCACCCTCACTACTCACCACTCACCCCTCACCACTCACCCTCACAACTCACGCTCACCACTCACCCTCACCACTCACCCCTCTCCCTCACCACTCACCCTAACCAATCATCCTCACTACTCACCACTCACCCTCACCACTCACCCTCACCACTCACTCTCACCGCTCACCACTCACACTCACCCCTCACCACTCACCCTTACCACTCACCCCTCTCCCTCACCACTCACCATTCACCCTCACCACTCACCCTCTCCCTCACCACTCACGCTCACCACTCACCGTCACCACTCACTACTCACCCCTCCTTCACCACTCGCCCTCACCACTCACCCCTCTCCGTCACCACTCACGCTCACCACTCGCCCTCACCACTACTCACCACTCACACTCACCACTCACCCTCACCACTCACCCCTCTCCGTCACCCCTCTCCCTCACCACTCACCCTCACCACTCACCCTCACCACTCACCCTCACCACTCTCACTACTCACCCTCACCACCACCACTCACTCTCACCACTCACCCTCACCACTCACTCTCACCACTCACGCTCACCACTCACCCTCACCACTCACACTCACCACTCACTCACCCTCACCTCTCACCACTCACTCTGCCTACTCACCACCACCACTCACCCTCACCACTCACCACCTAACCACTCACCACCTCACCACTCACACCACTCACCCTCACCACTCACACTCACCACTCACTCTCACCACTCACCCTTACCACTCACCCCTCTCCCTCACCACACACCCTCACTACTCACCACTCACCCTCACCACTCACACTCACCACTCACCCCTCTCCCTCACCACTGACGCTCACCATTTACCCTCACCAATCATCCTCACCACTCACCACTCACCCTCACCACTCACGCTCACCACTCACCACTCACCCCTCTCCTTCACCACTCACCCTCCCCAATCACCTTCACCACTCTTCCTCAACACTCTTCCTCACCACTCTTCCTCACCACTACTCACCACTCACCCTCACTACTCACCACTCACCCTCACCACTCACCCTCACCACTCACCCTCACCACTCACCCTCACCTCTCACCACTCACTCTGCCTACTCACCACCACCACTCACCCTCACCACTCACCCTCACCACTCACCACCTAACCACTCACCACCTCACCACTCACACCACAGAACCCTCACCACTCACCCTCACCACTCACGCTCACCACTCACTCCTCTCCCTCACCACTGACGCTCACCATTCACCCTCACCAATCATCCTGACCACTCACCACTCACCCTCACCACTCACGCTCACCACTCACCCTCACCACTCACCCCTCTCCCTCACCACTCACCCCTCTCCCACACCACTCACGCTCATCACTCACCCCTCTCCTTCACCACTCACCTTCACCACTCAATCTCACCACTCATGCTCACCACTCACCGTCACCACTCACCCCTCTCCTTCACCACTCACCCTCCCCAATCACCCTCACCACTCTTCCTCAACACTCTTCCTCACCACTCTTCCTCACCACTACTCACCACTCACCTTCACCACTCACCCTCAACACTCACCTTCAACACTCACCACTCACCCCTCACTACTCACCACTTACCCTCGCCACTCACCCTCACTACTCACCACTCACCCCTCACCACTCACCCTCACAACTCACGCTCACCACTCACCCTCACCACTAGGCAGATTACACTCTCCCTCCCTCACACTCACCCTAAACCAATCATCCTCACTACTCACACTCACCACCACCCCCACACTC